ATATGTATATATATAAGCATAAACCATTTAATTGACCTCGCTTAGCTTAATATGCATTCGATCGTGACCTTGTTCCCACGAACAACCTGTTTCACTTATCGATTTTGTTCTTTAATATATTCATATCCATTGACCTAAATATGTTTACTTCCTTACTAGCAGAATAAGTTGACTTCATTTTGGATAGTTACTGTTAATAATTGCCTGATTGCTTTAGACAAAATTTAAAATTAAACTGTAAAAGCAGTCAGTTTTATAAAGATTTTGTATGTACATAAATTTGAGTGGGGCTCATTCGTTCTTTATTCCTTAGTTTTAGTAGCATATTTATAAAAAATGTACGTGGGTAAATATTAATTCGTTTTACACAAATGTATTGGTATTGTTTTAAAGTCTTTTATAATTAGAATCATAAGTAATTCATTCAAAATATTTATTTCAAAGGTCTATACCGGTTTTTATTTGTTTTAAAAAGAATAACATATTCTCGAAACTCCTTTGTTATTGCAGGGGCGAAAGACAAACAAATTTTAAGGATACGATATACGAAACCGACATCTGGTGTTATTTCTATTTAAAATTTCGTCGAATAACAAAACAAAACAAACTCGCTTCGACTATGGGCTTGATACGTGGGAATGGGAGTTTCTGATTCGTGTATTTTACATAGGTAAAGGCTACGGACATGTAAGAAAACTTTGTTCCACAAATAGTATAAAGCTATTTTCCTTTTTAAACGTTTTAGTAGTTATTTTCAAAGAATGGAAAGCAGTCGACGTCGCCCCAAACACGTCATTTCGGATCCTCCCGGTCCACTAACGGTGCTTTTAGGTACCTCAAGCACCGGTCACCATTCTCGTCGAACCCGTGGCTTGCGACGAAGGGCTCGACGAGTAAATTAACCCTCAGACACAGCCCACTGAGTTTCTCGCCGGATCTTCTCAGTGGGTCGCGTTTCCGATCCGGTGGTAGATTCTGCGAAGCACGGCTCTTGCTAGGGTTCGTGTTAGCAACGTCGTCAGGTTCGAGCTTCGTGAGCTCACCTACTAGTTAAGGTTCCGCTGAAATAGCCTCTCAAGGCTATCAGCTTAGGTAGGCAAAAAAAAAAGAGTTATTTTCTACGTTTTGGAAAACTGAACTGCAACCATATTAAAATAGAAGCTTATACGTACAACAAATTCTGAAGAGCTATACATAATTTAATAATATGACAATCGTAGCGTTACGAAAGCGCCATAAATCGCAATTGATTCGGCAAATGGCGTCCTTAGCTTAGGCCGGGAGTCCGGAGTGACTTAGGCACAAAGAAAGAGGATTATACCGTAATCTCAATGGCCGATGTCGGGACACGCGTCTGTGACTCCGGCCCGCATTAAAGCCACATTAGCTCTCCATCGATTACGACCTGACATTTTGTTCAACTCGGGTTTACTTTTACGTGATTTCGCGATATGTCTTCCTCAAACATTCGCAATTTATTATTTTCTCCTATTTATTTTACGGGATGTTATTATTTTTCGGATTTCGCATTTCGTCGAAAAGACGATCTTAACAATCCTTAAATGAATTTCCTTGGTTGAGGGATTTTACACGTGCCTATATATTGAAATTGTGACGTATAAATAATATAATAATATAATATATATATATAAACTAGTGGTAGGACCACTTGTGAGTCCGCGCGGGTAGGTACCACCACCCTGCCTATTTCTGCCGTGAAGCAGTAATGCGTTTCGGTCTGAAGGGTGGGGCAGCCGTTGTAACTATACTGAGATCTTAGAACTTATATGTCAAGGTGGGTGGCGCATTTACGTTGTAGATGTCTATGGGCTCCAGTAACCATTTCACACCAGGTGAGCTGTGAGCTCGTCCACCTATCTAAGCAATAATAATAATAATAATATAGTTATTTACTTCAAGACTTTACAGAAGCTCGCGTATCATCTATATCGAATTCCCTATCCTATTTCGTCAATGTGAGCTTAGTTTACGTTGGTTGTTGCAAACAAATTTAGGGCGCACTTGACGGGCATCGCCGGTAAATTCCGAGTACAAAGCTACCAAAGCAGCTTAGCTCAGAGAAAGAGGATTATGTATAATCTGCGCTAGAGCGGTTGACATACGCTCGAGGCGAGTGTCTGTGCATGCCGGCATCAAAAAACGCAATGGAAAACGCGGAAATGTAAATTCGATAAAGTAAAACTGTTTCAAACGTTTTTTGAATGAATTTTTTGAATTAACGAATCTTATACCTTCAAACGAGCAATTCTTGTATATTAATCTATATATAATCTGAATCTCGGAAACGGCTCCAACGATTTTCATAAAATTTTGTATACAGGGGATTTCGGGGGCGATAAATCGATCTAGCAACGATTTATTTTCAGAAAATGTTGTTTTATTCGTGTTTTCAATAATCAACTCTTCCCGACATCTATTGGCGAATAATAATACTATTTTTCTTAATCGAGGGCAACTAACCGCTTTCAAAACACAACAAGATGGCGTTATCAAAAAAGAAACCGAGCAAAGCACGGTCATCGTCTAGTAATGAATTAACGAAGAAACGTATTAACGATGATTGAATGTTTTTAATGAACGATCGGATTTAAGTAACAGTGTACCTACTCCATATTGCTTTGATAATATACTCATTGTGTGTCGGTCGTATCAGGTACATGTGTCGAAAATGAAAACAAAAACAAGTTTACGAATCAGGGTTCTTAAATTTTAAAGTATACGATTTATTATTTATTTTTAGGTAGGTATATTTAATATGTTGTATAATTTTCTAATTTCTAATTTACTAAATTTTAGTATAATAGATGTATTATTAGGAGTTAACAGAACACATCATCATCAGCCTGTATCTCTCCACTGCTGGATGTAGGCCTCTCCCATAGTCCGCCATAATGAACGATCCTCCGCCTTCCGCATCCAATCTTTCCCAGCATATCACCGCAAGTCATCGGTCCAACGGGGAGGCGGACGCCCAACGCTGCGCTTACCGGTACGTGGTCACATGCTAAGAATTATTTATTATTTGTTGATATTTGCACCTACTGTGTCATCTGTCGAAATATATAAGCAACTAAAGGCTTTTTTTCATGTTATGTCGTAACATCATGTTTCGACAGGCTTTTATTGCTTGTAATGTCCCTCGAGCGCTTCTGATCATTGGCAAGAAGGGCTTCGTGGAATGGGATCTCTAGTGTAGTGCGGATTTCATCGAACCACCTTGTCGGACTGCGCCCGCGCGGTCTCTTTCCCTCGATCTCCCCTGTCACGAATGGTATCTCTAAGCTACATGCTACTCTTACTAATTAGAGATTATCCCGGTCTAGAGACCGTCCTCGCCGAGCCCGTTGCTTGCGACGAAGGGCTCGACGAGTAAATTAGCTCATAGACACACAGCCCACTGAGTTTCTCGCCGGATCTTCTCAGTGGGTCGCGTTTCCGATCCGATGTGTACTGTATATGAGTAATTATGTTTTATCACCTAGTTCAAGCACAGATGCACATTATGATTGTGTTTCTACTTCTATGTTGATAATATAATATATGTATAGATAATGTAATAAATAAATAATAAACAATAATGATAATAATTACTTACATAATAAGACCGTAAATAGAGAAATAATTTTATAAACGAAGACTAACATTCTTAGTGCGTTGTTTATATAAACGAAAACTAATCCGAGCCACGTAGAAATCGCTTCAATTACGGAGCTTAACAATATTACTGATTTTATCGTGAAAGTGACAATAGGCTTGCCGTGACTTTAACGAAAATTTCACTTAAAGGTAATCCGTACTTAGCTCTAAAACAAAACTGGAATATTTAAATGAACTAACGGTCGCTTGGTGGGCGAAATTAACATTACTGTTTGCCTATCTAAACAATAAATATATTGTAGTGGCGTGATTACTTCCCCAAGGTAGACGAATATTAAGAATTTTTTTTAGAGTGTGTATCTACTTTATAGTGAGTTTGAGGGCCCGTGACCTAATGAGGAAATTGCCCAGATTATGTGTATTAAGTGATGCGACTATGTCGGGGTTCTAATTCCTTGGAAATACCAATATACTCGTTTATGTATATTGGTGTTTCCAAATACTTTATTACTGGTGTTAGGACCTCTTGTGAGTCCACACGGGTAGGTACCACCCTCCTATTTCTGCCGTGAAGCAGTAATGCGTTTCGGTTTGAAGGGTAGGGCAGCCGTTGTAACTATACTGAGACCTTAGAACTTATATCTCAAGGTGGGTGGCGCATTTACGTTGTGGATGTCTATGGGCTCCAGTAACCACTTAACACCAGGTGGGCTGTGAGCTCGTCTATCCACGTAAGCTATAAAAAAATAATACATATAAGTCCCTACCTAACATGCGTCGACGAACTACTTATTTTCTGGGAGAGTTTTATATCGTGTAACAAAAAAAGAAAACATACTATATTGATTGGGCAGATCTGGATTTTTTTAGTTAGTAGCTCTGCATGCTTGTATTTTGAAGGATGAGAATTGATTTATTTGAGATTTCGATTTATTCGCGATGAGTGACAGCAATCATTCAAAAATCCTGATGGTTGGTTCCTAATTCGAAAAAAAAACCAGATTTTTTTCCATATTGTATGAACTCACAGCCCATTTCATATTAAATGGTTCTAAAGTCTGGAGTCTAGAGTCCAAAGGCATCGCAAAGTGGAAACCGCCACCCAGAGATGAGGTTGAGGTCTTAATCGTATTACAACTGTCAACACTTGTTAACATATTATACATTTATTCATACTTAATACTTAACTATGCGAAGTATCTTATTTGCATTTCATTACATCACCGATAACACAAGAATTTCATATCAATTCATTCGAAAGCATTGACGCAAATGTAATAAATATTTCTATGATAAGAAGTAATATATTACGTAATTTAATTACACCGTATCATTGTTATCGTTAGTAATTTAAATTAGGCATACGTCAAATAGAAACTAACCTTATGACATGTTACGTTGCGTTATTTTGTTTGAAATCTGAAACAAAGTCGAAGGTTTTAATTAATTTTATTATTGAATATTTCTAGTGTATGATTTTGATAGATGTTGGATAGTAAAATGAAATAAATGAATATCAAAGCTATGCTATCCCAGAGGCTATGTGTCAAGTCGTAAAACATGATTCATATCTGTAGTTAATTAGCGAGAGAAGAAGCGAATATACTAGTAGGTATGTATTGGTATGTATGTACGTACTGAGTGATATATTTTTGAATACTACTGGTCCCCTGGTAGTCGACATTCGACTATAGTTAATTAAAATTATAAGTTTGTACCCATTATGATTCTATTATCAAAGACTATTATATTTCTATAATCACATATTTCGTCAAGACTACACTTTAGGTAAATATTAATAAAGACAAATAATATTAAATCTATTCTCAATTTGATCACAGACCGCAATAAGAAAAGTTTGACAACAAACAAATAGTATGAATGCGTGTGTGTGTCAAATACATGGTAGTTTGTGTAATGTTGGAACGAAGTTCCTTATCGCACGTTGTGAAAGGGGGCTAGACGGAAAAAATTCTTACGAAAAGTTGTCACGACACTTTTTAGATCCGTCATTCTGACCAATCAACGTGTAGGCGCTTATCGCGTGACATTGCTCGTATCCGATTGGTCCGCGTAATGAGTACAGTTTCTCGAGATAGCGTTTCAACAATAGTAATTTAGTTCATAGTATTGTTTTTTTCTTCTTCATAATGCCGTAATTTATTATTATAACT